AAGTTCCTATGCCAAGGGAAACTTCGGGCTGAGCTTTACCAAGAGTTGTCAGATATGGATCCAGATTATGTGCGACCTGGACAAATTGGTCAAAGGTTTGTTTTGCCATCTTCATTTACTGGTAGTCCTAGACATATGTTTGAAATCTTTCAAGATTCAATGGCTATCACAAGATATGACCAACACCCAGATATTTTTCTTACCATGACTGCAAATCCCAATTGGCCAGAAATTACTTCAGCATTATTACCATATCAAAAACCTATTGATCGTCCTGATTTAATTGCCCGTGTTTTTGAGTTGAAGAGAAAATGTTTGATGAAGGAGATAGAAACAAATAAAGTGTTTGGAAATAAAGTTGCACATGTTTTTACAATTGAATTTAAAAAACGAGGCCTCTCTCATATGCATGTACTTTTATTTCTCATCCATAAGTTGCTACTTATATAAAGAAAATAGGAAAAAAGAAACGAAGGAATAAAGAAAAAATATATAAAGAAAGGAGAAACTAAATAAGATAGGTTTTTAATTCTTATTTAATATATAAAATAGAAAACAAAGAAAGGGAAAGGGAAATGGAAATGGGAGAAATAAGAAGATAGAAAGGGAAGAAATAAGAAAAAAAGAAATAAAGAAAACACTATTAAAGGTATAAAACAAATAAAATAGAAAACAAAATTAAGAGAAAGGGAAGAAATAAGAAGATAGTTTCATTTTAAGTACAAAATATTCACATCTTTTGCTTCAATGATAAAATATTTTCTTTTTAGGTACAAAATGATAATGTAATATCAAAAGCTGCATTGGCCCAACGGGCACGGCGAGAGCGCGAAAAAATTAAATTTCAATGCTTGCAACGAGAACAAGAGGGATTTGAAGAATGTGTTCAACTAAGATAATGTTCTTTAACACCAATTCGTCGCGATCGCACTCACTTGGAGTGAGAAACAATAACTGAAGATTCTCAGTCGGCACAAAAACGAACAATGGTTATCCATCATTCTACATGTTCGTTTTCTATGCCAAGCACATCTTCAAATTTACAAAGGAATCGATAAACTACTGTGTCTAATCTTGAAATACATACTTTTACTCATACCGTTTTGTTTTACAAAATTTTATTTATACACAAATATTCGTAGGTCTACTCTTATAAATTGATTTCTTCAACAAGATCTGTGTACTGATGATGAATTAGAAGATCTGCCTACGAGTATATCAATTGACGCCTGGGCACACAAAGATTCTTGCCACCATTATCTTGGCAAGATGGATGTATTATGTCCTTATTGTTCAGCCTTACATTGGATGGATGAAAAATTGACAAAATTATCTATAAAGCGTCCCTTATTCGGAACTTGTTGTTTGGAAGGAAAGATTAGGCTACCTTTACTTATTACATCCACTCCACCACTTCAGGCATTGTATGATGGGAATAATGATCAATCAAAATCCTTTCGAAGTTATACTTGAGTGTACAATGCAGCCAATGCTTTTACGAGTCTTGGTGTTACATTGGATCCTAGAGTACTCAGTGGAAGGGGCCCTATATCATTCACAATTCATGGGGAATTGCGACATCGAACAAGATCACTACAACCACAACCAGGGCAGGATGCGAGTTATGCTCAATTGTATATCTATGACCCTTATTCAGCTTTAGAAATTCGTAATCGTAGAAATCCTAACTTGAGAAGGAATGTTCTCAAAATTATTCAGGATAGTTTGTTGCAAGTCAATGCATTTGTAGATAAATATCGCCAGGCTCATGCCATTTTACATCAATTAGACTCGGCAGGACACAATCTACCTGCTCATCTTCATTACAGTTTAACAACTGATCGACGTCGGTATAACCTACCAACTACAGATGAGATTACAATTGTAATACCAGGTGATGGAATAGAGATAAATGGAATGAGAGATATTATTTCACATTTTCGAGGAAATAATGAGTTGATGCAAATTAATGAATGACACCCAGCATACTTGCCATTACATTATGTTCTATTATTTCCATATGGTGAGCTTGGATGGGAACCTGAGTTGAAATTGTGGAATGTTCAGTATGATCGACCTTCAACTGATCAACTTACTCAAATAAATTTTTATAGTTATCGTTTGTTTGAACGACCCACAGAGTATTCAACAATTTTGAGAGGTGGGAAACTATTTCAAGAGTTTTTGGTAGATGCTTGGGCTGCAACTGAGCAAAATCGATTGACATACTACAAGCTTAATCAAGGGAAACTTCGGGCTGAGCTTTACCAAGAGTTGTCAGATATGGATCCAGATTATGTGCGACCTGGACAAATTGGTCAAAGGTTTGTTTTGCCATCTTCATTTACTGATAGTCCTAGACATATGTTTGAAATCTTTCAAGATTCAATGGCTATCACACGATACAACCAACACCCAGATATTTTTCTTACCATGACTGCAAATCCCAATTGGCCAGAAATTACTTCAGCATTATTACCATATCAAAAACCTATTGATCGTCCTGATTTAATCGCCCGTGTTTTTGAGTTGAAGAGAAAATGTTTGATGAAGGAGATAGAAACAAATAAAGTGTTTGGAAATAAAGTTGCACATGTTTTTACAATTGAATTTCAAAAACGAGGCCTCCCTCATATGCATGCACTTTTATTTCTCAAGGGTACAGACAAAATTCGGACATGTGCTCAAGTAGACAAATTGGTCTGTGCAGAATTTCCAGACCCAAAAGATGATCCAATGCTTTTTGAAACTATCAAATGTTGTATGGGACATGGACCATGTGGTGCTCGAAATCCGCAAACACCATGTATGGAAAATGGTAGATGCACTAAGAGATACACTCGAGCTTTCACCTATCAAGATGGATACCCTATCTATCGTCGTCGCAATAATGGTCAAGTACATACTGTGAGAGGGCAAGAAGTTGATAACAGGGATGTCGTGCCATACAATGCATATCTTTCAAAACTTTTCAACTATCATATAAATGTGGAAGTTTGTTCCGGAATGAGATGTGTCAAGTATATACATAAATACATTTATAAGGGTTATGATCGTACAACGATGGTGTTAGGAATGATAAATGAGATTCAACAATATCTCGATGCAAGGTATATTGGACCTCCAGAAGCTGCTTGCCGAATATTTGGTCATCTTTTGCATGCAGAGATGCCAACAGTTGTACGATCGGCACTTTATTTACCTAGAATGCATCGTATTGTTTTTAACCCAAAAGAGTCATTACAAACGATTTAATCTAGAGCTGGTCAACAAATGTCAACTCTTACTGGCTTCTTTGCATATTGTGCTGCTAGTGAAAATGAATGTCCATTCACTTATCAAGAATTTCCATAACATTTTGTTTGGCTCAAGTCAGAAAAAAGATGGAAATCAAGAGAAAGGGGATATGCAATTGGTAGAATGTACTTTGCTAGCCCTAATTGTGGTGAAAGATTTTATCTACGTTTGTTACTAACCGTTGTCAAAGGACCAAAGTCGTTTCAGTTTTTACGCACGGTCAATAATGTTGTGCATGATACATTTAAATTAGCATGTGTTGCAAGGGGGCTTTTAGAAGATGATGAAGAATGGATACAATGCTTGAAAGATGGTGTAGTCATAAAAACTGGATATCAATTGAGGAGATTGTTTAGTACTATTCTCATCCAGTGCTCTCCACTAAATCCATGTGCATTATGGAATCAATTTTCAACGCGTATATGTGATGATCTTGCACATAAGATTTGTACATTGTTTGTCATTTCTAAACCAACTGAGGCTCAAATTGAAGATTATGGTCTCCATCTTTTGAATCAAATGCTTCATGAATCAGGCAAAAGTTTAATCGACTTCCCACCTATGCCACAACCTACCGCAAATTGGAGTGCAGTAGTTGGTAATCGATTGATAGTTGAACATCAACAACTGCAGAGTAAGGCACAACATGAAGATCCACAAATTACTATTGATTGTCTCAATAATGGACAGCGGAATGCTTATAATACAATCACTTCTTCAGTTTTTCAAAATAAAGGAACTGTTTTCTTTCTGAATGGGGGTGTAGGAACAGGGAAAACATTTCTATACAATACGATTGCATTAAAATGTCGTAGCCTTGGCCATATCGTTGTTACTGTGGCTTCGTCTGGAATTGCATCACTGTTACTGGTAGGAGGTCGCACTGCACATTCAACATTTTCCATTCCGTTAGATGTCTGGAAAAATTCACTTTGTGGGTTTAGCAAACAATCATTACAAGTTGAGTTATTTAGAGAAACAAAACTCATAATTTTGGATGATGTTCCTATGCAACATAGACATTGAGTTGAGGCGGTTGATCGTACATTGAGGGATATTTGTGATAGTGAAAAGCCATTTGGGGGTATTACTGTTGTTCTTGGAGGAGACTTTCGACAAATCTTACCAATTATACCCAAAGGAGTTCGTGAGCAAATTGTGAATGCATCATTAAGACACTCTGTTCTATAGAAGCATATATATATCTTGACGTTGGATTTGAATATGCGCTTGAATCATGAAGGCCATGAAAATGCTAATTTTGCAAATTTCTTGATGGAGGTAACACTACTTTAACCTGTATTATATAGATTATTTTAAATTAATAAATTGTGTTTACACTTACTTTTTTATTGATTTCACTTTTTTTTAGATTGGGACCAATCCTCAAGAAATCGTTAACCTTCTATCAACAATACACAAATGTTAAGATTTGAATGAATTACTCTCTACAGTTTATCCACAATTGAATATGATAGAGACGTCAACCCCAACATTTTTAACTGAACGCACAATTCTATCTGCGCGTAATGATGATGTCAGTGATATTAATACTACTGCGTTGAATATCTTTCCAGAGAGATTATATACTTATCTTGCAGTAGATAAAATGTCTGAAGATAATGAAATTGATCCTACCATTACAAATAGATATCCTAATGAATATTTAAATTCATTGGATCCTCCTGGGTTGTCAACTTTTAAGTTAGAGTTGAAAGTGAGTTGTCCTATAATACTGTTGAGAAACATTGCACCAAAAGATGGACTATGTAATGGTACAAGATTAATGGTTGCTAGGTGCGGCACTCGCATAACTGAAGCTCAAATTTTAACTGGAGAAAAGTTTGGCAATTTGGCATTCATACCAAGGATATCTTTGACACCATCTTCTTCAGAAATGCCTTTCTAAATGACAAGACCTCAATTTCCAGTCCGATTAGCATATGCTTTGATCATTAATAAATCTCAAGGACAATTTATGAAATTTGTTGGGGTTGATTTGCGCATACCAGTGTTTAGCTATGGCCAATTATATGTGGTATTGTCCAGATGTACATTCTTTAATCGTATAAATATTCTTCTCCCTAAAGATAGTTTGGATTCTACTACAAATATTGTTTATCCTGAAGTGTTGCTGTAGTATTCTATGCAGATTAAATGACGTTTTATTAGAAGGTAACCACGTAGATTTATTTCTGTTGATTATATAACTTTTTAAAAAAATTCAATTTAATAATAATTTGAAATTTGGACTTTTGTAGGATTGGACCAAAAAATCTATGGAGCTTAAAAGGAGAAATACGACTACCTTGCTTCGATGAGGATGTAATAAGGTAATTTTAATCTGAAAGTATTTTGACATGTATATTTTCAACAAACGTACTAATCTATATTTTTTTTGTTTCCACAAATTACCAGATTGTTGTGCATATTCCTCATTGGGGATACATAAAAGTTGATACAAAGATTTTTTGGAAAGTATGAGGAGGAAGTTTAGGCAAACACATATTTGAAGACATGTTATTGACACATCTTTTGTAAAGCATACATATTTTTGGTGTATGACAATATAATTTTTGGTGTATGACATGTTAGTGACACATTTTTTGTAAAGCTTTAATCCACTTTTTGTAAAGTTTTAACCTACTCTTTTGGTGTATGACAGTATAACTTTATTTCTGTTTTTTGTTCAGTGTTTACACTTTTTTTTACTACCTTTTATATTTTGATATGCAATATAACTTTAAATCTTATATGTTTGTTTCTTAAGTTGCATTAAGATTAGGGAGAGTTGTTATTTTATTTGAGTTTTGTAGAGCGTGTAATATAAGCAAAATTGTTATAAGTTCTTTAAGAAGAAAAATATTTCAATATATTTTTTAAGTATCTTTATCAAAAAATGACACAAACTTTATAAATTTCAACATAATACGTATAAATTATAACTACATTTTAATCTTAAAATTATTTACATCGTTCCTTTAGGCACGGGCATACGCTAGTTAAATAAATATTTCACATGTGAGGAGGTTGAATTTAGTTTTATAATTAATTTTTAAAGTAAATTATAAATATATTTTTTGAAATTTGTTTAAAATATTAACTACTCCTTATGATTCTATAAATTACATCATACTTTTTTTAAAAAAATTTAACCGCATAACAAATAATATTTTCATTAATAAATCATTAAGTTAATTAATAACTTTTAATAATCTCAATAACATATTTTAATTATCAGATCTAATAATTTCATTATCTTATAAGAGGATGGTTGGGAATTTTATTTTCTTTGTCAATTCTTTTCGTTGATAAATTTTGATAAAAGAATATTTGTAATTTTCAAAACCACAGTGACAATTTATATTTTTAAAAAATTTCAAAAGATACATTTGTAATTTACCATAAATATGTGTCTAAACTTTCATAATATAATATGTGTCTAGACTTTTTCTTAAAAATTGAACTCTAACTAGCTAATGAATTTTGGGTGAAATTTAAGTTTTCTTCTATAGAAATATTCATATTTATTGAATTATGTAAAAATTTTGAGATACTGTTAGCTACATATTTTGTATAGGCCAATCACAGTTCAACACGTGGCAGGATGAGGACAATACGGGAAGACAATTTAAATCCTCAATCGTAATCACACACGTGGCAGTTAGGATTGGTTATTGTACATCTGCATAGCACTGGATCAGCAAAGAGATGCAAACTGATGTGGCTTTAACAGTTACTCATATATTTAAATTCAAAATCAGGAGGAGAGCCTAACTGCAGACATGGCATAGTGGAGCTAACTGTGAGCAAACATGATCATCAATCATGGAGGGATGATTCGACGGTTAGAAACTCATTTCAATGGTTGTCATTAGAAAGTATAAATAGCAGAGAAGGCCCCAGAAAGAGCCCCAGACTTAGATCCAAAAAATCAATTTTATCTACTTTATTTTCCTTCCAGTTTTTACATTTCTTATTCTTTACATTTCTGTACTTTAAATTTATGTACTGCACTTCGTTCATAGGAGTAGTTTCAAGTAGCTTGTTGCTGTAAACCTCTACGAGGCTGAACTGAATCATTGGAAGTCTTTCATTTTTTACTTAATGAAATGCTACAATTGTTTTTCCTTTAATCATTATTTGCTTAATTCTCCTAAACAAAGCCACCAGTAAAAGTCTTCTTCATTGAGGCTGAAAGAACTAAAACACAATTTTCTGTTAATTGGTTGGCAATTAATCTTTTGTAAGGACTGATTGATCCTTGCTGACACGCTTAAAATTACAATAATAACTTTCGAAAGCCAAAAAGCCAACATATATTTTTGGCACGCCCAGTGGGACTAATTGAAATGGCTAGACGTAGGAGATAAGGAGAAAATGAACGCTTGGAAGAAGGCGTGGAAAGAGAGGTAGAAATACCTAATCTAGAGGATAATGTGATAACACATCCTGTGGAAGTACCTGTTTTATCAGAACCTATGGTCAAACAGACCAGCACTTCGGAGCAAGTACCACATGTGCAAAATATTGGATGAGGCCAAGGAATTAGACCATCCACTGTTTCATCTACTTAGCCGATAAATCCATTGGGAGGCCTAGTAGATGCCATGGGACAACAGTTAACAAACACAATGGAAAGATGGGCAACATCCTTTATGGATCAAATGAATATTCATCAACTAATTAACGCAAGGCACGTAGAGAAAATTTCAAATGTCCCTCAGCAAAGATTGGCTAGAGATAAACAGCCTATGTAGAGTAATGGACATATTAATGATCAAACTAGTAACCAAAACTATGAAAGACCATCACTTCAGTCTTGGTATGAGTCTCTTTCGAGGCCTGTAACAAATCAAAATGCTTCATTTCTTAACAATGAAGCCATACAAATTGGTGGATCCGGACCAACACAAGAAAATGGCACAAGGATGCTTCCAAATCCCATGTTCGAAGCCATACCTGGCGCAAGGGGGTTCACTAATCCTTTGTTCGAATTTGCACCCCGGGGGTTGGAAGGGTTTCCTGCGACTGGAAGAGACACAACACCTGTTCCAGCACCTTTTGCAGGCCCTTTTGCAAGACAAGCTCAGAGGGGTTATCCATACCCTCAACAGCAACCAGCACCACAAGAACAACCAATCCCAAATATACCGCCCTACGGACCAAGAGGACCTCAGGCACAAGGTTGTCCACCAAATCCTGTGTTTGTTCCTCCAGTAGTGGTTCAACAAGCACAAAATATGGTTTCTAGGGACCAAGTTGCTGATATTGTTAGAGAGATGTATGGACCGATGGCTCAGGGGGTTCAAACTCCTGTTTACAGGAACCCATATCCAGAATGGGTAGATAGGGTACATGAATACCCGAGAGGGTTTAGGATACCAAACTTTGCTCTTTTTTATGGGAATGAAAACCAGTCAACGGTAGAGCATATTGCTAGGTTTGCTGCTCAATGCGTTGAATTTACCAATAATGATTACATTAAGTTAAGACTATTCCCAAATTCTCTAACTGGGGTAGCTTTTGTATGGTATATTAACCTTACACCTGGCTCTATCCAAACTTGGCAATAAATGGAGGAGGCATTTCATGCCCAATTCTTCCAAATGGAGCCAGAAGTTTCCATGGCAGGCTTGCCTGATTGGCATCCAAGGGTTTTTCACAAAAAAGGGATCAAGCTCCATAAACATGACCTAGAACGTATGGAGCTAAGGCCACCTTTCTTTGTAAAACAAAGGCTTTGGCAAGAGGGACAAATTCAGGCATGATCCTCTGAGAAGAGGTACAGAAGAGGAACTTGCAAAGCCAATATAATATGAAAGAGAAAAATTCTCTATCAGTCACAGGGCCCTCTATTTTATTCTTAGCCTTAACAAAGTCACTATAGGATGAGTTCAGAGAGGGGAGGGAAAAATGGGTTTTGAGGTCAGGATAGTCTGGACCAATGGGGGTGCTAGTAGGGGATAATCTTAACAGATGTCAGATGTCAAAGACAGCAGGAGCCATCATCCCACATCTGAATT